TATCAGTAGAGAACTTAATAACTTTTGACACAAGAATTTAGTAACTGCTTTTGGTAAATAAAAAAAATACCTTTAAAGAAAACTTAAATGCAGTGAGCTTATAGGTAAATGAGGTTTTTCAACAGTGACTACATATTATATTATTTCAATTTTTAAATTTAGTAAAAAAGTAGAAGCTTTAATATAGCAATGCTTTAAAAATATATGTGATCAATTTAATATCAAAGTGAGCAATATTAAATGAGGACACCACAGACTCCATAACTTATGTTTGAAAGTTCTTGTACAATATAGAAAAACCCAAAGTAGAACAGTGAATATTACAGAGTGAATACTGGCTTGAAGACAACTAAATATTCATGTGAAAGGCAAATATTAAAAAATAGTAAATTTATTTTAGACTGAGAAAGATTACAGGGTTTAAATATTTGTAAATGTTATAATCATATTCTTAAATATTTACTTATTTAAAACTACTTGACAGTTTTACTTGAGAAATATGAAAATTTAAGAAATAAAAGAGAAAGATAATTAAAATACCAATACTGAAATTTACAGAGTTAATACATTATACACAGAGAAAAAGATGGAAAATAAGTTGGGCTCTGTGGTGTGTACTTAGTCTGAGCTCAGGAGGCTTAGGTGAGAGAACCCCTTGAGCCCAAGAGGTCAGCCTGGGTAGCATGAGATCCTCTCTCTCTCTCTCTCGTGCTCCCTCTCTCACATGAAAGAAATAAAGAACAAAAGGAAGGGAGGGAGAGAAGGAGGGAAGAAAAGAGGAAGGAGGAAAGAAGGGAGAGAAGGGAAGGGAAGAAGGAAGGAAATAAAGGAAATAAAAAGACAAAAGCAAACTATTTGGTTAGTGTACCTTCAAAAAATATAGCACCAAATGGTATTCAAGTGGAAAAGAATATACTTTTATATTGCTTATGTGCCAGAAAATAAACACAGCCACTGCAAAGAAAGAGAAACACTAGGTCAAGGATTTAGCTGAGTGGTGCTGCCACCTGACTTGCAAGCACAAGGTCCTGAGTTTGATCCCTGGTACCAAAACAACAAACAAACAAACAAACAAACAAAGAGAGAGAAATACTGTGGTATTATAAGGATCACATATTTTGGTTTGTTAATGTATTTCTGAAAACTTCTCCTAAGAAAGAATCCAATAGAGTCAAAAAGTCTCATATATACTTTTATGTAGAACAATGAAACAACCTATATACCTTATAGAAGGCTGTCATTATTAGTGTTCCTATCAAGGTGAAAGCCTGGCATCATTACGTTTATTAAGGTATAAAAGTTGTCAACAAAAGAAGCAATAATAATGACAATTTCTAGTCGTTTCCTTCTAATTATTCCAGAATAAAGCCATCATTATCTAAAAGTTCTATCTACTCAAACCACCCATGCTCAAAATTCACCTTTGCATGTGAAAATATTTAAAATTCCTGGCACAGAGATCTTTAGATTGCAACCCAGTCTTTTTCTCCCCAACTTCACTTCACAGTTTAAGTAAATGGACATCCCACCTTCTTTCAATATGCCATGCTTTATCACGGCACACCCTCACAGAACTCTCCCTTGTTTGCCAGGCAAGCTTCTCATACCCTCAAGGCTCAGATCAAATGCCACCTCCTGATTTTCTCTAGGTACTCCCTCTCTCACGCTCCCAAGATAACTCTGCTTGTTATCTCTAAAGGAGTATTTTCATTTATACTAATATTCATGTCTGTCTCCTTTATTAGTCTCTAAGTGTAGCCATCATGTCTTGACTAAATTAACAGCAGATGGAAAACTGGAAAATTCAAAATGCAGAAATTAAAGAATACCTCCTGAACAATCACTGGTTCAAAGAAGAAATAAAAAAGGGTAAAAGAAATTTAAAAACAAACTAAGACTAAAATGAAAGCACAACATACCAAAATTTATAGGATGCAATAAAAGTAGTAGTAAGAGGGAATTTCATAGTGATAAACATCTACATTAAAAAAATTCAGACAAGCTAACTTTTTATCTCTAAAACTAGAAAAAGAAAAATAAGCCCAAAGTTAGCAAGAGGAAAGAACACAAATTACAGCAGAAATAAACAAATTAGAAAATAGTAAACAGAAAAATTTAAAGAACCTAATGGTTTTTGAAAAGGCAAACAAAAGAGACAAACTTTAATAAAATCCAAAATGACATTAAAATGATGCCACAGAAATAAAAAGGATTATAAAACACCACTGTGAATATATGCCAACAAACTGTGCAGCCTAGAAAAAAAATGAATAAATTCTGAAAAACATACAATCAGCCAATACTAAGTCATGAAGGAATAGAAAATCTGAAAAGATTTATAAGTAGTATGGAGATTAATTAATAATCAAAATTTCTCAACAAAGAAATGCTCAGAAAATTGGAAAATTCTAAGAAACATTTAAAGAATTAATACCAAGCCTTCTCAAACTCTTTGAAAAAGTTGAAGAGGAGGAAACACTTCCAAACTCATTTTATGACATCAGCATTACCCTAATACCAACAGCAGTCACAGATACTATAAGAAAAGAAAACTATCAGTCAGTATCTTTGGTGAACATGGATATAGAAATCCTGAACAATAACATCAAATTAAAATTTGACAGCATATTACAGCTCATACTTCTAACCAATGGAAATTTATTCCTAGGATACAAAGAAAAATAAATGTGGTGTACTACATTAAAAGAATGAATGAATGTAAAGGTACAAGAGCCCAATGATGAATGCAACTGTACTGTATACCTAAAATGTATCAATAAACTCAATGAGGAAAAAAAAAAGAATGAATGAGAAAACTCACATGACCATCTCAATAGACCTGTAAAAGATGTCTGATGAAATTCAATAACTCCTTTTTATAATAAAAACAAAAACAATATATCTCTCACCTGTAGTCACAGTTAGGAGGACAATGAGGAGGATTGCCTGAGCCCAGGAGTTTAAGACCAACCTGAGTAATACAGCAAGACCCCATCTTAAACTAGAAAACCCTAAACAAACTAGGCATAGAGAGGAATTACCTCAAAATAATAAAGGCCATATGTGAAAGCTCACAGATAATAACATATTCCATGGTAAAAAAATGAAAGCATTTTCATTAACATCTGGAACATGACAAAGATGCTTACTCTTGACACTTTTATTCAACATAACAGTACTAGTCAAAGCAATTGGAAAAGAAAAAAAGAGGGAAAATGGTATCAAACTGGAAAGATAAAAAGTAAAACTGCTCATGTTTGAATATAATCTTATATATGAAAAACCATAAAGAGTCCACAAACTGTTGAACTAAGAAAAGAGTTCAGTAAAGATTCAGGATACAAAATAAATAATAGTTGTATTTCTATACATGAACTATCTGGAAAGGAAATTAGGATAACATATGCAATTTAAAGCAGAAAGGTTTATTTTGATTCATGGTTTCAGAGAATTCAGTTCATGGAAAGCTGGCTCCAAAGTGTAAACATCATGGCAGAAGATTATGGTGAAGGAAAGCTGTTTACATCATGGCAGACAGAGAGCCCAAGAATGGATTCACCCTTCAAAACTAAGCCCACAGGGACCTACTTCCTCCAACTAGGCTTTACCTCATTAACAGCCCAGTCAACTAATCAACTAATCACTGGATGAATCAACTGATGAGGTTAGTGCCTTCATGATTCAATCACCTCTCTCGGCCTCATCTTTCAACACTCTTGCATGGAAGATCAAGCCTTCAATACGTGAGTCTTTGGAAGGTATTTCATATTTAAACCATAACACTTTTATACCGAAAGCTACAAAATATTGATGAAACAAATTAAAGAAGACACAAACAAATAGAAAAACATCCTATGTGGAAGATAAAATATTGTAAAAATGTCCATACTACCTTAACTGATGTATGGATCAAATGCAATCCCTACCAAAATCCACATGGCATTTTGTAACATAATACAAAAAAGTTCTAAAATTCATATGAACTCAAATAGATAATCCTGAGGAAGAAAAACAAAGCTAAAGGCAGAACACTTCCTGATTTTAATATATATTACAAAGTTAAAGCAATTACAACAGTATGGTACTAAAGATATAAAAGTGTAAATTACTAATAAATTTTGACTTACCAAGGAAAAATGAATATTGTTCACATTTTCAGAACTATAAGAATATTATGCAGAGCTAGGGTAGTTGACCTCACCTCCTAAAAATAATCAATCAATATCTCTGTGGTGCAAATTCAACTAATTTTAGTTAATCTTTTGATGTAAAGAGGCCAAGTTTAGGGGCTGGGGATTTAGCTCAGTGGTTCGGTGGCCTACCTTGCAAGCACAAGGACCTGAGTTTGATCCCGGGTACCACAAAAAAAAGAGAGACCAAGCTTAGCTTTGGACTGTCACACATAATAACCATACTACTGTGGACAAATCACATCACATATCTAAAGCTGTTTCCTTAACTATAAATTACTGTAAAATATAAAACTAGACTATTTAATCTCTATGAATTTTTAGCTCTAAATATGCTATTTTCCAACTTATTAAATTAATATTTATTTTAAAAAACTAAAATATTTTTAAATAAAGCACACATTTTGAAAATTATATCAGTATAATTATTTCTGTTTGTATAGGAACTCTCTTACAACCTAAAACAGTTCAAATTTTAAATGTGAGATTCATTTTGGTAAAAAGCAGATTTTTATGTTATGCTATTACCTGAATCAAAACATATATTTTAAACACATCTATTTCCACGGAGTGGAGGAGGAAGGCCAAATAGGAATTGATCACAGCTTAACAAAGTCTGAATTCCTGAAAGCAAATGATTATCACTGAGCCAAAAGCAAAGTAGATGAACATGGTGTGTCCTTTTCATTGCTAATTATTTTCCAAAGCAAAATGTAGTTTTAACAATAAGAGAACAATGTTCCAGGAGATAAGTGGAAAGATAAAATAATAATGAAGTCTAACAAATGTTCTTTAAAAAACTTTATTTACCTGTAAAGGTCCCAAGATAGAGCTGGTTGTATACATAAAAAAGAGCCGAAGATAACTCAGGACATTTGCAAATGCAAAAAGCCCTTCTGCCACAAGTGTAGGATGGAATGCATCCCAGTCCTTCCGATCAGCAAAATTATGAAACTAGGGTTCAAAAAAAAGCCAAAGGTAAACAATAATCTTAACTCAGGTAAATAAAAACATATATTCTGAAGAAAACTATTCTGAAAGAAAACTATTTTAATATGCTTTCTCCTTGTAGGGAGAATCTCCATCTATGTTTCTAAAGTTTTCCTTTCTTAATAAACGCAATGTTTTGAATAAATAAAATATTTCTATGTATGTGAGACAATATTACTGTATATGAAGAAGTTTTCCAATAAATTTTTAGGTTTTAAAATGTGAAACTAAAAATTCTTAAAATTGTCATTAAATTTTTAAATTCACTCTTAAATTCCCAGACATAAACTTTAAATATGTATGCTGTCAATTAATTGGCTATCAATCAGGCCAATCTAGTCCTGTGACCCAGGATTATAGAATGAGTCATAGGAGATAGAGAGAGGGAGGAAATGAAGAGGGGAGGGGTAAAAAATAGTAGAGAGAAAGGCAAAGGGTGGAGGGTAGAGAAGGGAGAGAAGGAGAAAGAGGAGAGGGGAGAGAGGGGGAAAAGGGGAGAGAGGAGAAAGGGAAAAGGAAAAAGAGACCAAGCTTAATTGAGCAGGATAGTTTGAGACTATATATCATCACTACTAACAGTACTTCCTTTATTTTGAAAATGTCTTTTTGTTTGGATAATAGCTTATAGGAGTAGGTTATAACCTACTTATAAGTAGGTTATACTTATACAATTAAGATTGGGGTGAAAAAGCAATGCCATTTAATCTCTTTATCAAACTATCTATATGTGACCAATTTTTCTTAGTGACTTTATACTCTGTCATCAAATGTACTTGACCAATATGTTACATACTACTGACCAATGAAAGAAATAGAATATTTAAAATAAGGTAAACTTATATAATAAAATCATTTTCCTTTCTCTATAATCTATAAATCACTAAAAAAACAGAGAATATTATATATTTTAGTTCCTTCACTGTGTCACCTCAGAAGAATTCTAAACTCAGGACTTAAAGGTTGTTAACCTAATATCTATTACCTTTTCTGCCCTTGAAGATTGTAAATGTTGAAAGTAAAATTGTATGTCCACAAGGCTAAGTTTTTATTAAATTCTGAATAAAAATATATACTCATCAGAAAAAAGTTACATTTGTATCACTTTTTAATCTGTAAAAGATAACTATGATTTGGAATGTGTTAAATACTAATGAGTTTCATTAAGATAAATCTTTTTCAGATTAATATACAGACACTGAACATGAATCATTTTAAATTGTTATGTCCTCATTTTAAGTACACACAGGTTAATGAGTTACATGAACCTAGCTCAGATATAAAGAATTGGCATTTAATAGAAAGAAAATGCCTAGACAGACCTGGACTTAAATCCAGTCTTGGCTTAATATCTCTGAGCTTCATTTTTCTTATTGCAAAATGGGTATAAGGACTTCTGTCTCATATAGTCCCTGTGAGGATAAAATGAGATAAAGTATATCAAATATCAACCACAGTACCTACCACATAGAAGGTAACATCCTTTAAAGGTACACTCTTTAAATTATTGGAAATGTAGAAAACTATATACACCCAGGTAAGTTTAAAAATGAAACATGCCAGACTCAGAATTGGCCCTATGTAACTCTGAGTTACATAGTTAAATATGTTAAGAGTTTTTCGAAATAAACTTTTGTGCCTTCAACTGACATAGTAAATAGTCACCTTGTTGTGAGCAACCACTTTGAGAGCAAAGGTTGCCAAATAAAGGGAATTCATGACAAAACTGAGTTGATTACGAGATTCTTCTAAAAAGTCTTCCAACCCTTCATACCAGAGTCTTTTAATGTCTGACCAAATCATCCCTAAAAAAGGAAGAAAAAGTTTAGATAACATTTTTGTAGTTCAATAATAAGCTTTTAAATAATACTTCAAGTCAAATTATTACACAACTACTCTTGGGCTAACTATAGCCTTATTCAAAATAAAAACAAGAACTTTTTAGTGAAAAGTTCTTAAAATTAAAAATAGTCATAGGTTGCAGACGCTAAGAAAATACTGTTGTTGTTTTTTTGCCAGAGAGAGATGTTAAGTAATATAAAACAGGCTAAGAAAACAAAGAAATTGATGTTAAACACATACACACATGCATGTTTGGCCCCAATCCTTTTCTTTCACTATTTACACTTATTACTTCAGTGATCTTATTCAGTCTAAAGGCTTTAAATACCATCTAGGCGGCAAAGGTTCCCAAATGTACACATGTAAATTCAACTTACATTCCTATAATTTATATCTCTAAACCTCTCTTTACAGAAGTACTTGAATATTCTGTATCTCCAACTGGAAATATGTCCAAACTAAACTTGTAATCTCTGCCCTCCAAATTCACTCCACCTGTAGACTTCCCTATCTCAGTTCATGGCAATTCTATCTCTCTAGTACTCAATCAAATTGCTCTTCAAGTATCTCTGACTTGTTTCTTTTTTTGTTTATTTGTTTAACTGTATATTCATTGTAGAAGCAAAACCTGCTGGCTTTATTTTTAAAATATATTTAGTATATAATCTTTCTCAAAATCACTTTGAGCTATCACCTCCACTTGCCTGAATTACTGAAAGAGCTAGTTTGTCTCTCTGCTTCTACTCTTATTGCCCTAAAATCTGTTCTTAGTATACGAACTAGAGTCATTCTTTTAAAATTCAAGTGTTTCTTTGTGCCTCAAAATCCCTTTTGGTAGCTTCAGGAGGAGAAAGGATTAACAGAAGGCCAAACTTTCTCCATGGAAACATAATCTCTAATTACCTGCTATTAAAGTAGTTTACTTGGGAAAAACAAAGCACTATGTTAAGGAAAATATGGAAGGTCAGCTGTGTTGAACACTTGTTATGGTTTGGGTCTCGATGTCCCCCAAAAGCCTCATGCAGTCATAGGTAGCTTTTTCAGAGGTGGCTGAATCTAGCTAGGGTATGTGATGCTGGAATAAGGGTGTGTGATTACTGTACCAGTACACTGATGGGTTTGGAACTGCCATAACCCTGGTAGTCTGAATAAGTTAAAAGGGACAGAAAGATATTATTTAAATTTTGCCTTGTTACTTTTCCTGTCCTCTGTGGCAAAGAACTGTTTCTCCTCTGCAACACCCCCTGTCATGTGTCACTGCCTTGGAGCCAACCAACTATGGACTGAAACTTCTACAAATTGAGTGTAAATAAACCTTCCCTCTTTAACTTTGGGTGTTGGGTATTTTGTTTCAGCAACAAATGAAAAAGTAACTTAAGACAGTACCGTTGTAAAGACTACTATTAATTGTGAAAGTGCATCTGGACTGGAAGGACTCAGTGGACTCATGGGCCTTGCAAGTATACATCGCCAGGACTATGTACAATAAAAGTATTTTGAGAAACACAGACCTTAGTTTCTCTGTGAGATGCTTCTCTTAACCAGAGTGTGCCTATAGTCATAGCTATACTTGTGGATTTTATTCTAGGTGAAGTAGCCCATATCCACCCACATGGTCTTATTCCATACAACTGAGAGAACCCACTTATGGAGCCAAGACTATGGGGCCTGAGACTTTTGTAAGGACTCAATAAGGATGTATTTGAAGATATAGTGTTGACATGCTGTGTTTTCTGTCTTGCTTCCTACAAAGCTAAGTAAACTTGCACTCAGAATTCAGTGTACGGTGTCCTATGGGTATGAATATTAAAGAATCAAACACAAATCCAATTAATTATAGGAAAGGTATAGCACCTTCCCTTAAAGCTCACTTCATATAGAGTCAAAATCAATGACTTTATAATATTATATAAAACTCTTCTCTGACCTCATCTATTAATATTTCCTTCTAGATCAGCATGGTGGCGCATGCCTGTAATCCCAGAACTTGGGAGGTTGAGACAGGGGATCGCTGTGAGTTCAAGACCAGCCTGGGCTACATAGTGAATTCCAGGTCAGTCTCAACTACATAGTGAGATGCTGTCTCAAAAAACCAAAAAAAAAAAAAAAATTTTTTTTTCCTTCTCCTATTTTAGTCACACTGGCCTCCTTGCTTCCTTACTATCCTTTGTTTGTACACACAACTCCTGTCTTACAGTCTCTGCACTGGCTCTTCTCTTACTGGCAGCTCCTTGCCAGATATCCATCTAACTCCTCTACTATTCCATCTTTTAGCCTCACTACTTTCCCCGACCATGCTATTTAAAAATTGAAAGCCCCATGGCATCCACTCCCAATTCCCCTAGCTCTGCTTTTACCTTTCTTTTGTAGTATTTATCACTTTCTAAAATTGGGTATAATTTACTCATTAGTTCTATTACCAATCCACTCTAAGTAAACTCTTCAAGGGTAAGAATCCTTGTTTTACTAACAGAAGTCCCAAATGTCCCAAATAGTGCCTTATACACAGGAATACTAAAAAAAAAAAAAAAATCTTTTCTTTTTCTGTTCAGATATTCTTCCATAATTTCAGATTTCTAGGAGTATCAGAGAGCAGTAATATAACCCAGAATAGTACTATGGCACATTTCTTCATCAAGGCATTTTAAGAATATAAGTAACAGAAAAATACCATGCGCTATAACACATCAAATTAAGCCTATCAGAATCATTCTCTGGCTAAGTAGTAGGCAGAATAATTCCTTTGGGAAATACATGAAATATTCTTGAAAACCTCTGTTCATAACATGCTCATTATATAGAAGCAAACATTTAAAATTTTTACAGATATAATGGAAAACACTTAAGAAATTTTCCTTGGGTTTTACTTAAAATGAGTAAATTAAAAACTCAAAAATGTTAAATGAAATAGTCTACTAGTTAACATTTTATTAATTTAAACACTGCTTGTTTTTATTTGGGGAAGCAGTAGATATCAAAGAACTCTAAATGGATCATGCCCACCCTTTACCCAGAACCAGGAGCTATAGAACAAAAAATATTATAAGTGGGCTGGGGATTTAGCTCAGTGGTTCCGCTGCCTACCTCGCAAGTGCAAGGACCCAAGTTCGATCCCTGGTACCAAAAAAAAAAAGAAAGGAAGAAAGAGAGAAAGAAAGAGAAAGAAAGAGAAAGAGAAAGAAAAAGAGAGAGAGAGAGAAAGAGAAAAAGAGAGAGAGAGAGAGAGAGAGAGAAGAGTATATAAGCAATGGAATCATTGTATAATCAATGTCCAAGTGTTGGTTCTACATTTCAAAAAAATAACATTACTAAGAAACAATCCCAGCCATCCTGGGATTCCTCAAGGATTTATCTTTAGATCTCTATTTTCATGTTATTATTTTTCCTTAAGTGTCTCATCCATGCCTATATTTTCATATATCACCTATATATAAATATTTACACATTTCTAACTCAAGCTTGGACTTCCTCTTTAGTTCCATACTACATCCAACCATCTGCCTCGACATCTTTCTTGGATATCTCAAAGACTTTAAACAACATTCCCAAAATACACTCAACGTCTACCCTCCCACAGATTGACAAATCTAGTGTTCTAAAATAATTATATTGTTTAATAATTTCCTTCTCCTCACACCTCCTATATACCATGTGTTTCCATGTCTCATTGACCTTACCTTGGCAAATATCTCTCAGTTGTTTCCTTCTCTTTATCATAATTACCCTAATTCCACGGTATAAACATCTCTCATGTGGTAACCCAGATGTAATCTTCAATAGCCTCCTATTGGTCTCCTTCCAAATACTTGACATAATTCTATTCTCCTATCCCATACAATTCTGCACTTTATAGCTAGAATGATCATTTTGCTATAGCTTATATCTAGATGTCCCCCAAAAGCCTCAAGCGCTCATAGATGAGACTTTTGGGGAGGGGTGGCTGGATCATGGGTGTGTGTGGTAACTGGATTAGTCCACTGACTGCTTTGGTACAGTTGTGGGTGATAGAATTACTGAAGCAGGAAGCCCCATCCTAGTGTGGGTGGCACCAACCAATAGGCTTGTGGCCTGGATGGAATACAAAGGGAAAGGAAGGCTCTCTGCTTCCTGCCTGCCATGCCATAGCATGTTCTTCCTCTGTGATGCCCTCTGCCATTTTACCCTGTCTTGGAGCCAACTAACTATGAACTAAAACCTCTACAAACTGTGAATTTGTGGGTGTCAGGTGTTTTGTCCCATACAAGGGACAGTTTTCAAAAGAAAAAAGGGATCATACCACTTGCCTATATAAAACTTTTGGTGATTTTTCCACCGTTCTTCATATGAAGACAACATTACTTAATCTAGACTACATGGTTGTGCATGGTCTAGTTTCTATACCTTCATTTTGAATCATGCTCCCCATACTCTCCAAGAATATAACCCTTATTTTGTCTCTTCTTTGTACCATGCCTTCTCTACCACTGTGCCTCTCAATGTGCCTTATCTCAACCTCAGAATACTTTTCCAATTCTCCTATAGATGACTCACTTTTACAGTTTAGATCCTAGCTCATTTTTACTTCCTCAAAAAGCTTTTACACCATCCATAACTAGATAAAATCTCCCTATAATATGCTTGCAGTCTTAGCACTGTGATCTTTACTCAATAGCCCATTACTCATTTGTGACTTTTTCATTTATCTTTGTGATTCTCAAGTTACTGACAATGCTTTGTTGTTTAACCTTAATTTGACCATTAGCTCAAGGAATGTAGGAGTAATCTCTGCTTCTGGCTATGCTTGGACAAAATAGGTACATAATATTTTTAAAGTACATATTCATAATAGATGTTCTATTATGTTTAACAATAAAAATTAAGGAAAACGATACTATTAGTATTCTGTGCATTTGTCAACAAATTGTTTACTTTTCCTCTGCCTACCTTTTTAATAACTTAATCCTACTTTTATCTAAAGACCTAAGCAATATAAACAGAAAACAAATATACAAAAATTGATCATTACGAACAAAAAAGTTATAGTGCTCATTGTTTGAAAAATACATTGAACCAAGGAGTTACTTGCTTTGTCAAACAGAAAAATTATTCCAACATGGTCACTTATAGCAGGTTTGGATCTATATACCTGCTATGGCTTATATGTAGATGTCACCCCAAAGGCTCATGTGCCCACAGGTGGGACCTTTTGGAGATGGCTGGATCTAAGGTGTGTGAATGTGGATTACAGGTGTGTGCATATGGATTAAGGGTGATAACTAAATTAGTCCACTGGCTGGTTTAGCATAGTTCTGGGTATGGATATTGAGAAGGCCCACCCTGCCTGTGGGTGGCACCATCCAAAAGGCTTGTAACCTGAATGGGATAAAAGGGAAAGGGAGGCTTGTTGCTGGTGCTTCACTACTTCACTTCCTCTTACCTGCTCTGCCCTGGACTGTTTCACCTCTGTGATGCCTCTCTGCCATGCCGCCCTGTCTTAGAGACAGCTGTCTATGTAATGAAACCTCAACCAACTGTGAACTGAAATAAACCTTTCCTCTTTTGTGGGTGTTGGGTATTATGTCTCAGTGACAAGAAAAGTAACTAAGATAATATTTAAGCCCAGAATGATCAAATTACATTAACATGCTTAAGAAGACATCTTTGGCAAAGTTTATTCAGATATAATTGTTTCAAAGAAGAACTGTGATGAGAAAGTAAAATACGTCCAGGAATTTTACTGGTTCAACCACTACACATTCTTCTAATAAGGTAGAATATGTTTAGAGAATGAATCATATTGTGTGTGCAGAGGAGTACATGTGTGTACACATGTTACTAAAAACAGGGCCATCAAACTTATAAAGAAATAACCATAGTTTTACCATTATTTTGAAGATCAGTGGTAGCAGCATTGCCTATGCTATTTAAAGAGTGGTTTAACAGATCAGTAGATTTTTTTTGTGTGTGGTACTGGGGATCAAACTCATGTCCTTGCATTTGCAAGGCAGGCAGCAGAACCACTGAGCTAAATCACCCAGCCCCAGTGAATTTTTCTTTACTGCTACAGTATATAAACTTTGATTTAACTCTTACGCAGATTTGATTAAAATGAATTTAATTTATAAAAAAAAATGTTTTTACTACAATATTATAAAATTACATTTCTTTAAGGATAAGGTATATAGGGTCAGGAATTTAGCTCACTGGTTCCACTGCCTGCCATGCAAGTACAAGATCCCGAGTTCAATTCCTGGTACCAAATAAAAAGAATAAAATACATGTAACAATCTTTCAGAGACAGTTTAAGTGAATAGGGCTTCTTAGAGTGCCTCACAACCTGATATTTTAATACATCAAATAATATAAACAAAATTTACAATGGAAAGATACACACAGTGCATTAGTGACAGTATAAATTAAAATTAAATTTTAGATAAAAATACAGGAAAATATTAACAAAATACAATTATTTAATTCCCTAATACCTAACATTTAGATGTGTATTATTTTTATTTTACTTACCTTACTTTACATATTAATGTGTCATGAATATCACTTTTATTGGTACCAGAGATCGAACTCAGGTCCTTGTGTGAAATTATACTATATGAAATTAACTAATTGTCAAGTTCAAATTCCAAAAAATAAAAATTATTTTTATAGTTTTAAAAAAGGGGACATTGTAAAATAACTCATTTCTAATAACTGAAACTATCAAGAATATAGATCAAAAGATAAATATAATCAGTCCTTTATACACAAAAATGGCTAAATTTTAATATCCTTTAGTAAATAGTAGTGAATGGGTGAAAAATGCTCAGATTAAAAACAAGGCTGGGCCGGAGATTTGGCTCAGTGGTTCTGCTCCCTGCCTCACAAGCACAAGGGCCCAAAGTTCAATCCCTGGTACCAAAAACAAGGCTAGGCCAAGGATTTAGCTCAGTGGCACTACACCTGCCTTGCAAGCCCAAGGTCCCAAGTTTGATACCTGGTACCAATAAAACAAAAAACAAGGTAACAATAATAGAGAAAAAATAAAAGAAGTGTCTTTAAAAGGCCATAAACAGATAACTTGGCTCTACTTCAACTCACCAACTTCCCACCAAAAAACCAAAACTGACCTTCTAAAGATCATTTGAGATATTTTTTATATAATACTTACAAAAATAGTTTTCAGGAAATAAAAATGTCTTATTCTTTTAAAAATATCATGTTTTTTAATGCTGGATATAATGCTTGCACATGCTAAGCAAGAGCTCTACCACTTAGGGATAACCCCAGCCCTAAAACCTGTCATTTCTAAAAAGATCTGGTTTTCAGTACAAAGAACTGATTTATGCAATCAGTCACCAGGAACTCCTTTAAATTAGATTTAAATTATATTTCTATAATTGAGATAAATTAAGATACAACTACAAAAGTGCATTTAAATTTTTGATAAGAAAACTGATGACGTAGGAAAACAGAGGTATAGGAGTATAAAACTTATCATTTTTAAATACTTGAGGAAAATTCCTACTGTTATACAAATAGTATTCATTGGTAAATGTTATTTTCAGTTTTAACAATCATGAACAACTTCACAGTCTGAGAATAAAGAATTTTAAATTTCTTTGTATTTCTAAGTAATATTAAATTCTATAATCAAGCACAGAAAAATTTATCTTTATAAAAGTGTTAGTTAAATCTTCAATGATCATAGAAATGTTTAAATTCTTGCTGTGTGAACAGTATAAAACTGCAAATTGATGCTCATAATGTCAAGTGGGAGAATTAATGGGCTAAACAAAAGCAAAATATTTTTAAATAACTTGATACTTACCAATAATCCACAGAATAAGAAGATAGTCTATTCTTTCAAGGGCTGGCCCCATTGTGTTTTTCTTATCCTCATTGTAGACCAGAGAGTACAGATTTAGTAACAGTAAAAATGTGAAATATGATGCTCCATGAATAATAAATTTCATAAAGGGTGTATGAATGATTCTGCCAAGTTGAGATTTGGGAGCTATCAAATAACACAGTGACAAAACTGGCCAAAAAACGCCAACTGTCAAAACAGTCATTATCTTCTTACAGGTGGGCTTGCGTCGATAACCTGACATCTGTCCAAACCAAACAGTGTTCAGGAACTGCTGGCAGTTAGACTGGGAGACAAACTGAAAAGAACACAGTATTATGAAAATACAAAATAGAACTTTTAGGTACTTATTGATATTCAAGATCTTAACAGATTAAAATAGATTCTATCCATTGAACATAGTTTTTATTCATACAATTAGTAAAAGAGTATACAAGTTAAGAACATAGCCTATGGAATCTAAACACCTAGATTTAAATCTAACCTCTGATACTTACTGAATGACTTTGAGTAAGTTTTTAAACCTCGCTAAGCCTTAAACTCCTCAACTCTAATGTTCTTCGTAAAGTTGTAAAGCTCTTGGAATAGTGCCTCGTTCTTAGCATGTACTATTATTAAGTATTAGCCAACTGAACTGTTTTGTCATATATAAATACAATAGTATAAGCCTTTACAAGACATAACAAAGATTCTTACAATAATATTTATAAAATATCAAAGTTGTCATGTACTCTTAAATCTCCTTGCAACTCACTTTTTATGAGAAGGGGAAATAGCCCCAAATTGGAGGAAAATTTTAGCTCAAGTACAGATATCAATTTAGCAAAATTTACAGTTTCTTAGGTTATAAATTTTGCTGACAATATTTTTCCAATATAATGTTCATGTTGGAAAGTATAACTTAAGTGTCCTGGGTACAATAATATGACCAGCTTTGAAATTATACAAACAGATGATCATATTATTCAAGTAATCTAAAACAGTATTTGGTCAATCTTCTATTTTAAAAAGGATTATTCTGAAATAGAAAGTAATTTGTAGACTATAATGAAAAAAATCAGAATTTTATTGTTGTTTACTGTGTTTATCTAAACATTTTTTTGGAGCCACCACTGCTCCAGCACTAGGAAGGTAGCCTGGGCCTCGATCCACCGAGGGAAGGAAAGCCACGCCTTCTCCCGCCCCAAGCCACCATCGCTCCAGTGCCAGGAAGGTAGCCGCAAGGCGCCCCTGAACCCCCATAAATGCCCTTACCCCCACCCTGCATGCACTCTCGGACCTCCTGATTATGCCAGGCTTTGGACCCACTCTGCAGAGGCAGAGGTTGTTTTTCTGAGTTCTCAACTTTGAACATCTTTAAAGAAAGGTTGTGGGGGAATTTAATCTGGGCCTTGCAGCCCGAGGTCAGTCTGTGTAATGGGGTTCAGCCATCAGCTAACTGAGATCAGGGTCTTGCATCCTAGCTCTGTCTGAGCCATTAAATGGTAAATATACTATATCGAAAAGTTTGTTCACTGCAGACATGTTCTGGACTGTTTCTTGATTTCAATTTAATTCAAATGGTTTAAGGGTGATAGACTAGTGACTACCACAGGTGGTCAGTTTCCAAGTTGTGCTTGATCATAATGTGGTGCTGATTGTATCAATGGGATAAAGGATTGTGGTGGATTCAATGAGCTGTTTTCTCTGATGTTATGAAGATGAGAATGTCTGTGGGTCGTTAGAGACCCAGAAGCTAGGGCACAACTGTATCAGGAAGATTTGGGTGATAACTCAGAGATTAAACCAAGGACAGCCGGACAACAAAAATAAAAATGAGAAAACACTTAAGGCAAGACACAAAGACAGACTTTCAGTTCACCAATGGCAAACAGTAGGACAAATGAGGATGAAAAGGCCGATAGTGAACCACCAGGACACCCTGAACTCAAAGCACAGGAAATAACAAAAAACAGATCAATCAGGCTCAAGAAAAATTCAAAACAAAAATAATTTCCCAGATAACCATAGAGATGGTGAGCAAAACAAAAGTCATGATTTAAGACTCTAGAGCAGAAATTGACAAAAAAATAGATGAGTTCAGGACCACGATAGAAGCCATGAAGGCCCAGCATTAAGAAAGAAATGGAAACAATAAATGCCCAACATAGGAAAGAAATGGAGCCGGGCGTGGTGGCTCACGCCTATAATCCCAGCACTCAGGAGGCTGAGGCAGGAGGATCGCTGTGAGTTCAAGACTACCCTGGGCTACGTAGTGAGTTCTAGGTCAGTCTCAACTACATAGTGAGACCCTGTCTCAAAAAAAACCAAAAAAAAAGAAAAAAGAAAGAAATGGAATCCATAAAACAGATTCAAACAGATATCCAGGAGATTAAACACTCCATTGAAAATGCATACAACAGAATAAAAGAATGTGAAGACAGACTCTCAGATATAGAAGATAAAATTGCAGCCACTGACTGTGAAAAGAGAGATCTCTTTAAAACAGTAGGGGATCATGAGAAATCGATCCAACAACTAACTCCTAGATGATGCAAAGAAGAATAACATAAGACTGATAGGAATCCATGAAGTAGCAGGAGAAAATACAAATGATTTAAAAAAGCTGTTCACAGAATTAATGACAGAAAACTTCCCAGAGGGGAAGAATTTGACATTCAGATAAGTGAGGCATATAGGACCCCAACTAGCCACAATCAAAAAAAATCTACACCTAGACATATAATAATCAAGATCCCAGAAACCCAACAGAACAACAAAATACTACAAGCAGTAAGAGAAAAGAAACAAATCACATGCAAAGGAAAGCCCATCAGAATCACAGCAGACTTTTCAACACAAACCCTTAGGGCAAGGAGAGCCTGGAGTGAGATATTTCAAGTACTAAAAGAGAACAGCCTCCAACCTAGACTGATGTATCCTGCAAAACTCTCTTTCAAAACGGATGGGGAAATAAGATACTTCTACGACAAAGAACACCCGAGAAACTACATGAATAGCAAACCAGCACTACAAGGAATTCTAAACAAGATCCTAGAAAAAGACAATGAAGGCAACAACACCATGAGGCCAAACAGAGCAAATCAAATAGGCAAGGCAAGAAACTAAAAGAAGGTGAAAAAGTAAAAAGAGTCAACAAAAGGCCAATAACA